TTTCCTGTTTCAGTATTACCCCCAGTATTACCAATATTTTCGCTGAAGAAAAAAACACTTCCAAATAGTTTTTCATGAGAATGTCAGTAATGATCTCCTGAAAAATAACAACTTAATTTTGATGAAATTTTGCTTTTTGTGAGGTTTCAGTGTGTTAGTGATTGAAATATGAGGGTACTGTTTGCCATATCATTTGTGATCATGCCTTTTATCAGAGCTTTTTGGCTATGAGTTTTTGGCAATGATGTGAGGTCACATACATGTATTGAGCGACACATGATGCAAGGAAACAGTAGCATGTCTACAAAGCCACTAACTTTAGCGACAAAGAACGAGTTGCCTGACCTACATGATGATTTTTTAAGGTGACATTACCTCACCCATCTTGGTGATGCTATGCCTTATGAATTGCCTTGTGTACTGACCTTTGTACCACAGTGACTAGTACTGAACTGTGTTTATTATCTTGTCAGACATTAACAAGACAAACCAAGAGGCAGTGGCACGCTTGCAGCAAATGAAAGAAAACAGAGGAGACAATACTGATGATGCCGTAGCGAGTGATGATTTGAAAAGGTAAGCATAATGTACTATTTTACACAAAACCCAATCAGTGTATATAAATAACACATTACCAGCTGAAAGCCTCTGCAGGCATATCAAAATCAATGGGAAAAAAAGACGTTGACAGGCAATATGTTAACACAATTACACATAAAATGTTGTAATACTGTGAAAACTCTAAGCTTCTAAATAATTAGATTTGAAACATGAAAGTTAGTATACAAAGTTATGTTGGCTGGTAGAATTTTTAGATTAAAATCTACGATTACAAAATCATTTGTTGTCAGGAAAACCACATCAAATCACAATTGCGATATTACATGGCATTCATGTAGTTAAGCACCCTAGAAAAGACTTTATTAGTTCCCTGTTCAAACGGCGGATTAAATTAAAGTGCTCATCACTTCTTTAAAAAAACATTATGCTGTGAAATCAACACAAGCGGAATGTACTCTATCCTAAAAATCACTTCTGCAACAGGCAGTTAAGTGGCCTTGAGTGATTACAACAATGACAATTATATTGGATTTGGTGATTGGACACCCAATCGCCCAAGTTTGTTTCTGTCAAATGCTTTACAAAATTTGTTGCCATACTAACTGATTTTATCATTTTTCATGTTGATCACAATAATCAATGGGAGGTGTTCTGATTATAAAACAAAGTGGAAATGGAACTTTAAAGCACCACATGCATCGACCACATTTAAATTTTTGTGAATACACATAATTTATGTTTATGATATATATGTAAATAATGCATAGGGCCCAACTTCACATATGACACAACGTGGTGACTATGCCATCTTTAGTTCAGAAGATTGAGTACATGGCTGATTGATGAATGGAATAATGTTTGCAAGCTTGACACAAATTGAAATTAACATGCTCCATTTTATTTAATTTTTGTAATTCAAGGGTTAAAGAAGAACTTGAAGAACTCCGCGTAAACACTGAATTGGTCCGAGGTATCTTCCAGGGGATTATTGTTGGCAGTGGGATCAACTGGGCTGAAGACGATAAACTTTCAAAAACAGTTATTAGCCTAGGAAAACCATTTGACCCATAGGAGGAAGAGTGACAATTGCTTGTTGTTTTAGCTTTTTGGAAAATTTTTGTCGTTTGGGTATTTTTAGGGTGACGGTCATCGGAACATATGCAAGGTGTTAAATTGGTTTATTTAGACAATATTCAAGTGTATGCAGACACAATGACTCTGTAAAGTTGCACTCTGAGAGCATTCATGGAACCTAATTAGGGACTTATCATGTGACATATTATATGGATTTCAATTTGCTCAAATTGCGGGAAATGTACATGTATGTCTGCGCTTTTCTTATATTCTCAATATTTCTGGAAATGAACCCTAATTTTAAAGCCAACAAACAAAATTGAAGTAATTTTTTTAGTTTTTACTCAAAAGATTTGGCTATTTTTGTCCCAATCTTCTGAATGACTACTACAGGATTATTTTGCAAATTTTTTATGAAAACAGGGAACTAGTGGTATGAAGGTTAAATGCTTTTCAGCACATCAAAACATTGGTAATGTGGTCCCCTGTAATGTGTGCAAATTTAGACCATCAATGGGTTCACATAATAGCCCCAATAAAGCTCAATGAATGTGTAACTTTATCAGTATCATTATATGTACATATTTGCCGCATAGACCTTAGTTACCTATAATGGTATTATTGGTCATTCATTTCTGAAGCTCACTATCCATTGTCAATATTTGTAAGTGGAAATGATGTCACTTTTAATACAAGTTATACCACTTTTGGTCATATGAGCCATTCTTCTGCTGTATATATATTATGTATATATTTAAACTATTACAGTTGTATTCATATGGGGATTGTAAACCACTATTGAAAGTAAATCTCACAAACTTGGAAACCCACATTGTATTACATATTTTGTAAACGCCATATTATAATTGAACATCTCGCCTGACTTGTAAACTACCAATACATTCTTGTTTTGGGGTTAGACCAGATTTTGCACTATGGTTACGAAAACAACTTTTAGTCAGTGCAACATCTTCTATTTGCCAAAAATAAATCAATAGAGATCTTTCTCAGATATTGAATAAGTTGGCCAAAGAGTTCAAACTTGCAACACCAACAATGGGAGGTAGAGCGTCCTTCAATGGTATTAAATTATTTTTATGGTGGTATGCAAACTGACCATAAACGTCATTGTTTTTGTTTTTTTTAGGTCAAAGTAAATCTTGCACAAATGTACACAAATACTGTGCTTGAAAAATAATAATAAGATTTGTGTAGAAAGCACCATGGCCCTTTTATATTTGCTCCATTCAGTCATACCATACCATCCAATTGAGCCCTATGTCAAGAAATTTGTTCAAAGACCTTTATCTGCAGTTCTGTTTTTCCCTGACATGAGCTAATAAAGTCACAAAAGTATGCTGTCCTAAAATTGCCCAAAAATACCTTTGAAGTTCTGAAGTCAAAAGTGAAGAATACTGTTGACCAGATCCACTCACATGCATCTGTTGCGGGATGATTTGTTTTTGAACATGTATGGAGTGTCCAAATTGGAATGGTACTTCATGTCAAGCATGTCAGAGATATGGCTCTAGAGCCGCATTCGTTAAAACAAAATGGCCACCAGTCAGCAATTTTGAATACAATCTGAAAAACAAAGTGATGTGCACCAGGGACGCATGTCTAATGTAGGTACAAAGTTTGAACGAAATCCATCTATAAACTACCGAGATCCGGTTCTTGAATGCCAGAAATGGGTCTTGGAAGCTTACTTTCAATAGGTCACAGCGAAGCGGCTGCTCTGCTAAGTACGACACCCCGATTCACACCCAAGTCGTCTGCAGTCAGTCATTTTGTGATAATTTTTTAGCACAAAAATGGCCACCCTTTAGACATTTTGAATCAGATCGGCAAACCAATATAACTATATGTATGAGATGATATATAATGAATATTTAAAATTTTAACTTAATCAGTCAAAGCATGTCAGCGATAATGGCACTAGAACTGCATTCATTAAAACAAAATGGCCACCAGTCAGCCATTTTGAATCCGATCTGTAAAACAAAATGACGTGCATCAAGGACCTATAATGTCTAAATGATCAACATCCGGTTCTAGAATGCCAGATGTGCTTGATTTTTGATGATTTTTAGCACAAAATGGCCACCATTCAGCTATTTTGATTCTGATTGTGGGATAGATTTATTTGTATATCTATGAGATGATGTATAAGGAATATTTAATTTTTTTTAAGTATCAGTCAAACAATGCCAGAAAAAAAGGCACTAGAACTGCATTCACTAAAACAAAATGGTCACTAGTCAGCCATTTTGAAACAGATCTGAAAAACAAAATGATGTGCATCAAGGTCCCATAATGCCCAATGTATATACCAAGTTTGAACAAAATCCATCTTTAAACAGCCTAGAAATGCTTGATTTTGATGGGTTTTCAGTACAAAAATGGACGCCGTTCGGCCACCTTAAATCAGATCAAATTGATGTGCATATGTATAACAATATGCATGATGTATATGTGAAGTTTGAATGTAATCAGCTCAAACGCACGCACAGATGTCACTTTATAAGTCCCAGTTTTCGAAGCGGTTTATATAACAAATCTATTAATTAATTCAACCAAATTAAGCCTTGAAGTGTTATGTACGTTTGTCTGTTCAGAACTTAGTAGTGCCGACATAGTAGCATAATCCTCACAATGTACATACGTATGAATTGAAAATTGAGTGGGCCATGATTCACTGATGGCTTGAATAACTGGAGAGTCAAGTGAATCATACAATGTGAGTCTTTGCAGTTACATGTAGTTTGTATGTGTGGTGTATGTGTGTCCGTCTGTTCCACTGATATCTCAAGAACCATACATCGTTTTTTGATGAAACTTGGTGCATAGATGCTCTGGGTCGATGCGCAGATTTAATTAGGTTTTGGTAAAAATCCATGCATATTAATTAAGTAATTTGCATGATAATTAGCTAATTTTTAGGTGTTCCATGACTGTTCCACAGATATCTAAAGAACAACTCATTGGATTTTGATGAAACTTGGTACATATATGCTCTGAACTGATTTTTTAGTTTTGGGTATAAATCCGTGCATATTAACTACCTAATTTGCATAATGATCAATAAAGTTTCGGCTTTTCCACTGAAATCTCAAGTACTAATCATCACATTTTAATGAAACCTCATACATGGATGTCATAGGACACTGCACAGACCTGATAGTTTTTAGGGTAATATAAGTACATGTTAATTACCTAATTTGCATAATTAATTGACATTTCAAGTAGTAATCATTACATTTCAATGAAACTTGGTACATACTCAAGGACTATGCAGAGATCAATTGTTTTTGGGTAAATATTTGTGCATATTAATAACTAATTTGCATAATCAGTTAATTTTCAGCTTTTCCACTGATATCTAAGGTACTAATCGTCACATTTCAAAGAAATGTGGTACATATATTTCCTAGGATATGCAGAGATCTGATTAGTTTTGGGGTAAATATTTGTGCATATTAATCACCTATTTTGCATAACTAGTTAATTTTCAGCTTTTCCACTGATATCTCAAGTACTAATCATCACATTTCAATGAAACTTGATACATAGATCTGATTAATTTTGGGTTAAAATCTGTGCATACTAACCAATTTTAAGCTTTCACACTGATATCTGAAGTACTAATTATTCTATCTCAAGGAAACCTGGTACACAGATGGACTGTTACATTGTGCAGAATTTATTAGTTTTACACTCAAATCTATTAATATTAATTTCCTGATTTGCATAATTAGTTTCCAGCTTTCCCATCAATATCTCAAATACATTTTTAAGTAATTTTGAATTAATTTTTAATGTGTTTCCAATACCCTCAGCACACGGGAGTTCTTTCTAAGCTTTCTTTGATTAAGGTCATGGAATGAGTTTAATCAAACAATATTACTTTAATAGAATAAAGTTGTGCAATGGTGTCAGTAGAATAGAATAGAGAATAGAACAGAATGAAATGGAATAGAACTACTTTATTGACAACGTGAAGAAAATATTACATTTCTTTTTTGGTTATAAACATCAACGAAGTTAAAATATTTTAAACATTAGTAATGTTCAAGTAAAAATATACCGAGGGTATAATAAAACATAGCAACATTACACTGTACTACTAGTATTTTGATTGTGAAATTATTCCTTTCACACATACTTTATTTTTTACATTGAAACAAATAGTTATTTAGAGCATATATAATTATTTTATCCCTCGATTGCATTATATAGTCAAATTTTTCTCTTTTGTCTTAATTGTGTCTGAAGTCTTGTTTGATTAACTCTATGGCATTGCACAAAGTATTTCCATATTCTGTGTACTAGTATTTATTACAGTCATAGTGTCTTCCCAGAGGGTACGACCATTTCAACGTTGCAGAATGAATGATGGACTCATTTTTGTTATTCACATGGTACCGCGCGGTGTAAATGGGGAATCTATTCAGTGGCTAGTTCTGCTGCATGCACCAAGGGCATAGGCAAGGTCAGCCTCGATTTGGTATAAGTTCAATAGTTGAGAAAGTGACAGTTCAAACGTATTGCCATCAGCCATTTTACGTATATCGAGGCACGCCTTAAGGAAACTGTTGAAGTGACGATCACAACACCCCGCGATTCGGCTTAAGTAATCAGGTGTGTAGTCCACTTGCGTTAAATGCGTTTATACCCGCCCATGGAGTTCCTCTAAACCTAGCTCCACGTTTATGCCGGAGGTTATACTCAACTGACCCCCGATTAAACTAAAGTTGTTATCTGATTTCACTGTTGACACTAATAGTAGTGATATGTAGATTGGATGACGTGGGAATAGTTGCAGACAATGCAGAGTGTATATGACTTTGGGATTTGACTAATTGTAACATGATAGCTACAATTGCTACCTATCAATTACTATTGACCCTTCAACTACGGCCTTTCACTAGCGATGACGTAATGTTCACAACACATTTGCATACACTTTGCATTCGGAGCGAATTCAATTACTACAACAAAAGATACAGCATTGACTCTTTAAATTTTCTTTATATTATATTCAAATACACTTTGAACCCAGAAGGTGTTACTTTTATTACTCTCATTAAATACTACAATGACAGATGCAGTATTGACCCTTCAACTCCGACCTTTTACTTAGCAGGATGTGAAAGTTTGACACAAGTCAGACATTCACATTGCATACTTCTTAGTAACCGCGATTACGTGCAGAATAAAGCCGGAGGAAAGGTAGATTAATTACCATACTGGTAGAAAAGAATAGAATCGGCACAACATGTACACGCAATATAATGTGAACAGGTACAAGACATGGAACCTGAATTGTGTAAACCATGAAGAATTCAT